ATTCCTTTGAGGGAAAAAAAAAAAAAGTTTGATGAGCAAATCCACCCTTTATGGAAAAATAACGAGGGTCTGACCCACCTAACCAGGCACGAAAGGACATTTCGCCAAATTAATTCCCTTCTCAGTAAAACACACAAGAAAAGCCAACGTGTGATGTATAAGTACCCGAAGACCTGCAATGTTCTCACTGCATTGGAACTGCTTTTACAGTGTTATTCTATATTATGTACAGAGCAGCATTTTTCACATCATCTTAAAACTGATTTTTCCAAAGAATGAGATTTCCTAAGTCTAAGGTCACCAGACATGAACTTACCTCAAGAATTGTGAGAAAAGCTGGTTTGATAGAGAAGTCATTAGATGGGTGTAGGAGCTAAAAAGACTGGGCTAAACGTGAAATTGCGAGACTCAGCAGCAGGACTCTTTAGCGTGCAAGACTCAAACACTTTTATTTTGTTGTTAGCCATTCAGAACTCGTGACCTTTCTGTGATTACCAGAATAATCAAAGTTTTCACACACAAGACAACCCTGAACTCTCTGGGTATTAACAAAAATAAACTCCAAGGTAACACTTTGGAACCACTGTGGCCCATTTCCAGCAGAGTACCATCCATGTGCTCTTTTAGTGTATGAGGGGCACTTTAAGAATTTCTAACAAGAAACTGAACACGACACTAGGTAGTGAATTAACCTTAGTATCTCTAATCTAATCCAGAATTGCATTTTCTATCCTATCTTTTAAAAGCTTATTACTGAGCACAGAAAATAACGCACCCGAAAAAAACCCTACGCAACGTTTGTCCTTAATATGCCACTAATGCCACCGTTCTTACAGAATTTATGACTCCTTGAACAAAAGACTACAGGAATAATCTTCCTACCAAAATGGAATTCTAGGTGACCGTTGAAGTTATCACAGAGCAATTACACAAGAGGGCACTTTGGTTTGGATTAAGATCGGGACTTTGTGATTTCTTAGCAGTCAAGTACGAATTTGCAAACAGCTGCTGCTTCTATTTGAGCCAAGAATAAAGCTAATTGGAAGAAAATTAAATCTTGACTCTGGCTCTAACATTTTTTGTTTCACACACAACAAACCCCCTCTCACAGGCGTATTTTAAGGGAAGGCAGAACCTCTCTGAACTAATCAACAGCTCTCTAATTTGCCTTACTCCCTGCAGGAGGTTAGCCCCCCGACTTACAAAGAAAGAAGGCAAGAAGCTGCACTTTGAACTTGCCTCTTTTAGTATCAGCCTTTTTGTGTACAAGAGAAAAGAAACGCAGAAGAGGAAGCAAAGACAAGACTTACCACTTGTCCTGTATGAGGATTCTTATGAGCGTAGGGTGGACCTCTAATGTGGTTCCACATCTGACCTGATGTCATTGCTAACACAAAACACTGAAAAGGAAAGAAAACCACTGTTTAATAAGGATTTTTCTTCACTGTTTTTACACAATTTCGTTTTATTTCACACCAATGCATACTGGCTTGGAATACAATTTTAGTCCTACCTCTTATGTGTTTAAAAAGCAACTAATCAAGCATTAACTTGGCTGAAAAGACGAAAATCAAATATTTTCAGACTATCAAAACCTAAACGCAGATCATTTTCCTTTGCCAAGTTTAAGCATCTTTGAATACAGAAGCTTTTAAAGACTTGTATTGCTACAAAACTCACGACGACAGGCAGACAAGAGCTGTAATTACTCACCAAAGCAGCAAATGCCCAGCCCGTTTTGTTATAAAGGAAATCCAGATTGCTTCCCCGCAAATACACGAGGCCTCCGATGACAGCCAGCAGCAGTCCCAACATCAACGGTCCGGCATAGTTTGGTGGCCTTATCACACGAATCTAAAGAGGATATTTAAATTATTTTCTCCCAACACATGATACATTTTCCCACAACAATTATACATTATACCCGCACACCTGCTAACAAAACCCACAATGTATCAGCACACACAGAGACACAAATTTTCTATGTAATAAATTTGCCGTGGGAAGTCAGGCTTCTTTCCCCATTACTGTAACTTTACCCTTCCTAATAATTTAAAGACTTTTTTTCTTCCATAGGAACAGAAGGAGAAGGAAGGAAATGAGCTTTACCATCTTACCAAATAGAGAATTACACAAGCTATTAGAACACAGAATACAAGGGAACGCAGAGATGTAGTCCTGTGCCCAAACTAGATTTTGTAGACGAGAACTATTTCCGAAATGAGATCGTTCAAACCCAACTGACATTTTATGGCTGGATTTACATTAGCAAGGAGAGCTGCAGAGGTGACGAAGGGGAAAGTCTGCTCATACTTACGTTGACGTCGGTTCTGTCGGCCACCCAGCGAGCGAGCTGCTCAGCGGCAAAGCCACGCACTTGAAGTTCATACGTGTCCCCTCGTTTAGGTTTCCCTTTAGCAGGGAAGTTAATGAAGGTCGGAGCAGAATTCATGTTCAGCTGGATTTTGAAAAGCCAGAGAAGACACAACACCAGGAAAGGCCGGTTTAGTTACACAATTCTATTCCATTTATATCTTGCAACATTGTCACCAAAGCAATGAGAAGTCACTATTCAAGAAATAGATTTAATTGAGAATGACTTTTTTAAAAGGACAGCACATAGTAGCTTGCATTGCTGTATTTCCTAGAAGAAATCAATATACTCCTGCAACTTCCCTTTTTTGTTCCATTCTGTTTTCTCCTTTCAGAACTGAGGAACAATTTTTTTTTTAGTTCTGTCACTAGCTCTTCTGGATATGTTAGAAAAAAATAGTTACTTCTGAGTAGGCTTGCTTTTTTTTTTTTTAAAGCACCATTGAGCATGCTTTCTGAAGTGACTGACATTTCTCTGTCAGCACTCATATGTGTAGCTACGGATTCAAAAGATTCAAATCATTTAAGAGGAAATACGATATAATAAATGAAAGTAGGTTTTTTCAAAATGCAGTTCTCTCTTTTCGTAACAGCGTTTTTCCCAAAGCATTTCAGGTTTTTTGAATCTGTTTCTTCCTTAAATACTACTTTTGGGAGAGAAATTTGCAAAATAGGAACATATACAAAAATCGACAAAAGCCATAGAAGGATTAATGAATTTTTGGTGTAACACTGTGTGAAAATTTAACAAGAATAAGAAAAAAGACATCACTCTCCACTTTCTCCAGTCCAAAAGCTTCCATTTCATAAAATATCACTGTCCAGCTTTTACATAGAGATGAGTATCTCTTTAAAAAGAGAGTTAAGGTTTACAAAACGATAATGAATTATTAATATGAGCTACAGTTCCAGGCATACAAGGAATGTTCTCAAAATCTGGTTACATAATGTTAATAGAACAAAACAACTGGGTACTTGAAAAGAGCTAAGTTAATCCAGACTGAAAGTCTAAGCTTTTTCTATTTCTATTTTCTATTTTTCTATTTTCTACTTTTCTATTTCTGTTTTCTATTTCTATCATTTTCTATTAATCCAAAAATTCTAATAGCTATTCCTAACGCCATCAGGGCTTTCTATCTTGCCTCCTTATGCACGAGTGAAAATTCCATTAAGAATTACACCGTAAGTTATTATAGGAGACAAACTCAAGAAAAAAAACAGTCAGAGAAGCCACTCTCTGTGCCTATTATTCTGTTCATATTACAGCCAACACACTACTGCCCTTCTGCTGCCCTTCTCCTCACTTCTTCCAAGAGTGGCAAATTTAAGTTTTCAATTATTTCTTTAATCATCATAACACTAACTTCTGTGTACATCCTTCCCTTCTTTCCCTCGATCTCCAAAACCCGAGTTAAAAATGTTAGAAGAGGGGAAAAAAAAAAAAAAAAGAGACAGACGTTACCATCTGAAACACATCTGAGCCTTCGTCAAAATCTACCATAGCGAAGAAAATCTTATTGGTAAACGCACTGGAATATCGCCAGGAGTTTGCCAGAATCTGGTATTCCTCATCAGCTTGCCTGCAAAACGCACAAAGCAAGATGCTGTATCGGATGTTTGTCCAGAACACGAGTTACAGAACAGCTGAGGGAGCTGTAGTTACTTGCCCCATCAGTGGGAACATCCCCCACACCCTTCCACCAAAGAAAAAGTTTAAGGCCAGACACTCATCTGACAATCGAGTGAAGCGCATGGCACCGCTGCTTCTTTTTGAAGTGCAAGCACAAGTTTTGTTGAGGCCATGAACACAAGCAGCAGTAATTTCTAATTCCAACATCCTAGTTCCAAACTGTAGTTCCAAAACAAGTATAGGTGTGCCCTCTTTTCCATGTCAGAGGATTAATTGCAACTAGCTAGACATAAAAATCATCTTTGCAGACCTCTACCGCCTCTGCATTAATACCTGAAAGCCATAATATGGTTAAGGATGCAGCCCATTATAACTGTAAATAAGTGCCAGGCAACATATTCATTAACATCGATTTTAGACTGCATGGCCAGCAGCAATTCTACAAACATTTCTTCAGCAGCTCATGCCAGGGAAATTGAGTTTTCACCCTTTCTCCAGAAGCCTATCAGTGTGAATATTGTTTCTGCAAAGCAGAGACTATTTTAGGAGGGAGAGAAATAATTAAGGACTAAGTTGTTTTCTCACAAACATGTAACAGATACAGTCCTACACATTTAATTCCAAAGCTAAGCCTACTATAATGTGCCCTAGCATATTCCTCCCACGTATGTGAAAAGTTATACCCTGTTCTTAAATTAAATTTCATACAAAGTATATGACGACTTTCAAGTTCTAATTTAGAACTAAATTAAGGCCATACTTGCACACAACACACTGTCTGTGAGGCTGAAGAGCAGTGAACATCACAATCACTGAGTAATTTCTGGGTGGTGCCTTGACGAGGCGTCGAAATTTGTCTCCGTTCATTCGAATGACAGATCTTTTACTCGCCCACTCCATTAGCTGGTTCACTTTTTCTGATAACACCATCTGAAAACAAAGTCAGAGAAACACTGACAGGGTTTGGGTTGGGGTTTTTTCCTAATCTTACAGCACGATCCGGAAGGTTTTTAGATTTGATGTAACAAACAGCTGTAGTTTGTAAGAACACCAATCGCGGTGTGATACTTCACTACAATTCTTTAGTGCATTCAGGGATTCACTTGACTGTTATGTTAATATACATTCATTTACTTTAACCACTTTGTAACACACTCACTCTAAGCGCTTTGGCTTTAAGTACTTAGTGTTACACATGCTGGTGCAGACTCTCAGCTCACCGGCACTTTCTCACGTTCTAACTGTGAGATCTCTTTCAGATGCACAAACTGCCCCGCACCGCTCCACAGCATTAATGCGATACTGAGCATCATGCTCTGTAACAGATTTCAAAACTTGGTGGAAATGGAACCGACACTAACGATGGAAGCACCATGGAAGCGAGCTCAACGTATAATTTTCAGCGTTGCTGGAAAAAATTGCTGCCCAGGGAGGTTGTGGAGTCTCCTTCTTTGGAGACATTTAAAACCTGCCTAGACGTGTTCCTGTGTGACCTACTGTAGGTGATCCTGCTCTGGCAGGGGGGCTGGACTAGATGATCTTTTGAGGTCCCTTCCAACCCCTGACATTCTGTGAAAATTTGATTCAGCAGGTATTTGGAGGACTCCAGAGTGCTCACCACTAAGTTCTCCTATAAAAATGAGCCAGACAATTCTGTAACATCACCAAAAAAAAGCATTAGAGATGTGACCAACCCCCAAGTGTTACATTTCATAGAATGGTTTGCGTTGGAAGGGATTTTGAAGATCATCTACTCCCAACCCTCTTGCCATGGGCAGGGACACCTCCCACCGGACCAGACTGCTCCAAGCCTCGTCCAACGCAGCCTTTGACCCTTCCAGGGAGGGGAGCTTCCACGGCTTCTCTGGGCAAGCTATGCCAGCGCCTCACCACCCTCATAATAAAGAGCTTCCTCCTAATGTCGAATCTAAATCTACCCTGCTCTAGATTAAAACCATTGCCCCTTGGCTTATTGCTACTTGCCCTAGTAAACAGTTCCTCCCCGGCTTTCTTGTGGCCTCCTTCAGGCACTGAAAGGCTGCTGTAAAGTCTCCCCAGAGCCTTCTATTCTCCAGG